CCCAATTTGGTCTGGGCCCGAGGTGGGCCTAATAGCCGGCGACTACTATACAATAAACCACTCCTTCTGGCGACTCTTGCCTTTTAACTTCCAACCTGGGATTCGACCTGATGATTGAAGTGGTCTAGGCACAACCACGACTTAGACTCCTAAAAGAGTTTAATGTGCACGTAGATAAGGATAGGGCCGGGAGGGAGGGAATGTTCAGGTTGCTTGTTCGAGTTTATCTCCATGACTCACGACTGCGACTCGTTAAAATCCAACAGTGGCATGGCGTTAGCAAGAGGACGCATTTAATATTGGCATGGGGTTGCCATATTGCAGTGCTGCATTGCAGACTGCATTATTCTGTGACGGGGGCATGCACGACGGACCTCGACCCCGTGCGCCCTGGTAGCTCTGCCGCGGCTGGAAAGCAACTACTTAATCGTCGGAGATAACACTTCGCAATTTTCACCTCGAGTATCTATTGTAGGCCACCCAAGTACCCACCACCTGCGGCAAGCCCGCCTTCGTAACAGAGCGTGCATACCAGCCCTCCTGGCCGTGGAGACAGGGTTTAGGACTCGCAGGCGTTCCTTTTCTGAAGATATCGAGGACACACCAACCAGACGTAAAAATGGTTGCCATAACAAAATGCCGATGATTGCAGGCTATGGTGCATTGTAGGTTTGGAGTGTTACTTTGAGATTGATCGATACTGGTTGCAAATGAGGATCCTCTGTACCATAGTGTGAAAAGCAACATCAGAAATCCTCACACACACATGCCTGTTCATGTTTATCTCTTTTGAGAAATATCACGAACGACTAGGTCGGACATCCCAATATCACTCCACCCCGATTACCAAGGAGTCGAAGGCGTCAAATACACGATGGAGAGGGGGGAATAAAGGTTGCGCAGAAGTACTGATATCGGAGTTCACGAACAGCACAGCAGACGTAGTTCTGGTGTTCGGAAACTAATGTGAAGAGCGGCATTTTGGTGATATCCTTGGTGCGTCGTTGTAGGCATCTCGCTCGACTCATAGTCACCAGAACTAGCAGTTGTAAGAACGGAAAAGGTGCAGACCTTGGTGGACCAAGTTTTGTCCCTGATGTAATCCTCTGCTTTCTAGTGGGGCAGTGTTACTTAACGAGAACAGTATACACAAGGTTCACTCAGTGCAATGCCCCATCTACGCACTAGTCTTTGGAGAGAACGGTCGACCGCAGTTGTAGTTCATCATCGACGGAACGAGGATAACAGAGACATGTCTCTTCGATCGTTGCAGTGCTCGCAAGAGTTGCTCCAAACAAATTAATAACTTCAAGAAGGCGCTAAAATGAGCTCCAGTACATATGCGGTCATCTGGGCTACAGTAAAAGTATAGGACCTCGGATTACCCCAGACAGTGTTTCACGGCGTCGGATTTTAATGTCCTAGTCGAAGGTGAAAGGGGTTAATACCCTGATTAACGTTCCCACACAGACATTTAGAGCACACAAAAAAGGAGTGAAACGAACTTCTGTCCGTTCGAGGGGAAGGAAGGCAAGGCACTTCGAAATTGCGTCTACCAATCCTGTCATCTGGCCGAGGGGGTGATCACGACGGGCAAGCCACCGGGATGGACTAAATTGGCCTAGAATGATGATAACAATGTGAGAGGTTGAAGATCTGGCTTGTTAGTGTGTGAAGAGAATAAATTAAACCCAATAGTGTTAGGATCACTTACCTCCGGCATCTTCATTGACTGCCTCGGCAGTCTTCGCCATGAATTCCAAAAAGTATGTTATAATGTTGAAATTGAGTTTTTTGGTAGGCTGCAATGGAGAGTAAAATAAAGCAGTCAGACAAGACACGACGGAAGACAACAGCAAGAAAGTCCGTACTGTGAACAACTCTTTAAGGGGTGGGGGGGTGAAAGATGACAGCCCGTGGGAAGTCCAACTTCTCCAACAACAGCATTAAGCGTTTTCTTGAGTACTTGCTAGTTGGCATCTTCTAATCTCAAAAATTATTCAAGTTGACAACGACAGATAAAAGAGGAGTTGACTAAAAGTAGGCTAGAGCATGACTTGTAAAGCAAAACGTAAATTCTGCCTCAATCTCAAAAATCTGTGTTCGCCGGCAAACGGTTTGGGCTATTTCGTCAGCGTCATCATCCTTGAATTAACTTGGCCCAACCGGCAATCCGACCTTCCAGAGGAAGGCGGGTTACCCG